TGAGTGAGAACATGCGTTTTAACAACTTGCCGGACTATTTCAAGACGTTCTGCGTCTTTGAGATGCCGCGATTATTCGCTGCTTGTAGATCAGCCGGAGAAGTGTGCAAAGAAACCCTTCTTGTCGCTGGCGCTTAAGTCCCTCACTCTACACTTGGTCAGAAGGCAAGCGATCCGGGAATCCTGGGGGGGCCGAGAAAGCAACGCGGGGAACCAAACGGTGGTACGAGTCTTCCTGCTGGGCCAGACACCCCCAGGGGACAACCACCCCGACCTTTCAGATATGCTGAAATCTGAGAGTGAGAAGGACCAAGACATTCCTACGTGGAACTACACAGACACTTCCTTCAACTTGTCTCTGAAGGAAGTGCTGTTTCTCAGGTGGCTAAGTACTTCCTGCCCAGACACTGAGTTTGTTTTCAAGGGCGATGATGATGTTTTTGGGAACACCCATCACATCCTGAATTACTTGAATAGCTTATCCAAGAGCAAAGCCAAAGGTCTGTTTATAGGTGATGTGATCCACAGTGCTGGACCTCATCGGGATAAGGAGCTGAAGTACTGCATCCCAGAAGTTGTTTACTCCGGCCTCTACCCACCCTATGCAGGGGGAGGGGGTGCCTCTACTCCGGCCACCTGGCGCGGAGGCTGTACCATATCACTGACCAGGTCCATCTCCACCCCATTGACGACGCTTATACTGGAATGTGCCTTGAGAAACTCGGCCTCGTTCCAGAGAAACACGAAGCCTTCAGGACATTTGATATTGAGGAGAAAAGAATAACATCTGCTCCTACGTAGATCTGATGTTAGTGCACAGTAGAAAACCTCAAGAGATGATTGATATTTGGTCTCAGTTTCAGAGTGCTCATTTAAAATGCTAAAATATATACAAACTCAATTTTGCATAGAGAGATGTATTTTGAATAGTTCTCATGTTATGTTCTCACATTACAGCAATTTCTATGTTAAAGCAGGAAAATTGCCTTTATGAGTGGTCTCCATTCGAGGGCCTCTAACCCCTTCAATCTGGTACTTATGTGAAGAGGGAAAGGGAAAGATGGTAATTTTATTACGGTGTTATGGCACAATGATTGGTTCTGATCTTACCGGCTAGTGCTCATTTTTAAAAACCTTGTCCCCTCTTATCTGAAATGTTTCTGGAATGTTACCATTTTAAGTTATTTTTGTTTTACCCTCTTCTATAATATTCCTACTTCTCATAATAATGACTGATTTATCTGCAATTCAGGTGTTTATCAACCTATTGGCTACAAAGATTTTGTTAACATGATCCGGTGGTTTTTGTGAAATGGAATTATGTTTATTTTTATGGGACTTGGATAAATTTTAAATTGTCTAGAAAACAGATACTTTAATTTTCAATTGTGGAATTCACTTTTTCAATTGTGGAAGTTTCCTAACGCCCCAACAGTATTTTCTTGTGTTAATTTTGCAAAATGAGAATCATTGTCTGACACTCATCTAATTTTTCTTGTTGTAATCTTATGGTCATAATAAGGAGAAAGAGGTTTTAATTTTTCTTGTATTTGGTTTGCTGGGTCATATCACAACCTAATTTTAGTATTTGAAAACAATGAGTATGATTCCTTAATGGCCAACTGAAGACTGAATTGTCCGGAACAACCATACCGTATTTGCGAATTATCAGTGTGGACCAGGAAAGCATAAGTAACTTTTGAACTTTAGTGAAAAGATTGAAGTTGCAGACTTTTGCATAGGGGGTTTGTCAGTTTAAAACTCCAGAATTTATTATCACCATATTTTCACATGTTGCTTATACAAGATTATTATTCTGAGTAGTAATTGCTTCCCTGTCTATGTAGAAGTGCCTGTGTTTTTATTTATTGTTCAAAGACTAAAACATTTTCTTAAATATATTTTGCATAATATTTTATTTGTATACAGTGTTGTTGAAATATTTAACTAGAGCACGGTATTTTAAATGTTAAGATGTAACATATGTTAAATAAAGCTGTTATTTTTGAATTTTAAAATTTGCCGTTTGGGGGTAAGAAGTACTAGAGTTGACAAAATTCTGCCAAACTATTACTTGTATGTATTATCGTGTAACATGCTTTCTTGAAATATTTTTGTTTATAGAATTGAAGGTTCTTATCAGATGGGATGCTGGGGACTATAAACAATGGAAATAAAACCATTGTATTTAAAAAAAAAAAAACAATTACCTCAATTGTTGGTGACAAATATTGCCCCCAGTTTTATAGATTTATTATTTATAGATTTATTATCTATAAAATAATAACAAGGAGATGTTTAGACTCAGATATGAGGTCCACACAAATCAGTATAAAATATCCTCAAATACACAAGACCTATAGCATCTCATTATTTTCAATTTATTAGTTTTTTTGTTGTTGATTCGTATTACCACCGGCTGATAAGAAATTCCTTGAAAGTTCTTCTTGGGACTATCCTCTCTCCCTGGGACTATATCAAGATTCTAGGCCGGGAGCGGTGGCTCACGCCTGTAATCCCAGCATTTTGGGAGGCCAAGGTGGACAGATCACGAGGTCAAGAGATCAAGACCATCCTGGCCAACATGGTGAAACCCGGTCTCTACTAAAAATACAAAAATTAGCTGGGCGTGGTGGCGCACGCCTGTAATCCCAGCTACTTGGGAGGCTGAGGCAGGAGAATTGCTTGAATCCAAGAGGTGGAGGTTGCAGTGAGCAGAGATTGTGCCATTGCACTCCAGCCTGGCACCTGGCAATGGAGCGAGACTCTGTCTCCAAAAAAAAAAGATTCTAGAGATTATGTAGATCCAGAAATTGAAGAAGAGAAAAGTGGCGTTTTATTGTTCGTGGATCCACACTGGTCATGTCTGTACCCTCATGTGCCCCAAGCCCTCAGTGCAATGATACCTCTCCAATGTTTTGAAGCCAACTTGGTCCTGTGTGTTTTTTGTGCAGGAGTTGATCAACAAGCTAGTTCATCATTACTAGAAGTGGGATAGCTCATTTGGGTAACCCTAAAAGATTTTGTTTTCTCTTAACCCTTTCCAGGGGTTTGGAGTAGTGAAGTGGACTTGTTGGGAAGTTGAAATCAATCTAGATAAATAATGACTAAACTCTCATGGGCCAACGACCCATGTGAGATTCTGATGAAAGATTTGAACTCAATAACAAGCTATTATTTTCATAAATACATAACACAAAAATATATAATATTTTTATCAAAAACTAACTTCCTTAACCTCAACAGGATAAGCTATTTTTTTTTAATATCCCAGAAATTTATTTGATGTTTGCTTGAATACATTTTATGTAGAAAGATTGGGATTATTTGCTTTAGATGCCCCTGGTACATCTCATGAGGCATTGAACTAGAAAGGGGTGCCAATGTGGAGACATCAGAAATGGAAATCACAAGCCCAATTTCAGAACTATTCTTAAAGATTGGTCTCTAGTGAAATGAGGCCACTCCCTTAAAAATGCTCAAAGTGTTAGAGCTACTGTGTGAAAACAGCTGACATTTAGGAGGGCATTTCATGTTC